ACTCCCATGATTTGCTTCTTGAGTATGGGTTCTGATCCTACACCCAGTATAGAACACCTTGCTAAAAAATTGGAGATTATGTGTAAAAGTATCTCAATGGGACAAGGACAAGAAGTTCATGCAAGAAAATTGATTCAAAGTGCAAGCACTGAAGTTAGTTTTTATGAAAAATTTAAGAGAGATTAAGTGAAAATACAGGTATTAATGTGTGATGCATTAATATAGTAATTTATAGGGTTACTGGGCATTGTGTCAAAATTGTCACTTAGGTTTGGACTATATGCAAGAATTAGTTAACTTCATTTTGGAAATGGAGGAACCACACCCAAATTTTCGTATATGGATTACTACAGAACCACACAAGGACTTTCCAATATCTCTTTTGCAAATGTCTATAAAATACACTTATGAGCCTCCACAAGGTAAAGGAAGAATAATTCTCTAATTTCTTGTTTCTACATTTTCCTTCATCCTTCATGTTAGGTGTGAGAGCAGGTTTGCTTGCCACATATAGTGGAATGAGTCAAGAAATGTTAGATCAATGTGATGCTCCACAATATATACCAATTATATACACAGTATCGTTTTTACATACTATTGTGCAAGAGAGAAGAAAATTTGGACCTCTTGGTTGGAACATACCATATGAATTTAATCTATCAGATTGGCTGGCATCCTGCATGTTCATTAACAATCATTTGAGTGATTTTGATGTAAAACAAGGAATAAGTTGGCACACGATAAGGTAATACAAGAGAAAAATTTCTTTTAAAAATAATTTTAAATGAAAAAACAATTTTAGATACATGATAGGAGAGGTGCAGTATGGAGGTCGTGTTACGGATGATTATGACAAAAGGTTGTTGAACACATTTGCAAAATTATGGTTTTTAGATGCAATTTTTTCAGAGGACTTTGTATTCTACAAAGGATACCCTGTTTTAGTTTACAAACAAGTTACAGACTACCTGAAAGTAATTGATGAAATGAGTTCCATAGATCCACCACAAGTTTATGGTTTGCATCTTAATGCAAACATTACGTAAGAACATTTTCTCACAATATTCCAGCTGTAACTGTATTGAAAGGAATTTATGAGGAATTTATAATGCTGCAGATATCAAGGTAATACTACACAAGCTGTTTTAGATACTATAATATCTGTACAACCAAAGGAAGCAGGTGTAGGTGGTGGTGAATCTAGAGAAGTAATTGTATCTAGACAAGCAAAGGAAATGTTAAAGAAATTGCCACCAAGTTATGATCCATTTGAAGTAAAACAGAGGTATACCTCAATAATATTTCTAAATGATTGTTTCCATCAACTAATTCAGAGATATTACTTTATAGATTGCGAATATTGGGTGCCACTGCACCAATGACTATTTTTCTGAAACAAGAAATTGATAGAATACAAGTAGTAATTACATTAGTGGACGTTATTTTAAAAGATCTTTTACTTGCTATAGAAGGTGTTATTATAATGAGCGAGGTAATTTTTTTTATTAATTCCACACTAAACATTATAAATTCATCTCATGCAAATAATGTTTAGGAATTGAGAGATGCTCTTGATAATATATATGATGCTAGAGTACCAAAAGCATGGAAAGCAAAATCATGGGAATCTACTTCTCTTGGTTTTTGGTATACTGAATTACTGGACAGAAATAAACAATTTTCTACTTGGTTGCACACTGACAGACCTGCCAAATTCTGGATGACTGGATTTTTCAATCCTCAAGGTACATAATAATTTACAAATGAAATTTAATTGCAAATAATTAAACTTTAATTACATAGGATTTCTAACTGCAATGAGGCAAGAAGTAACAAGAGCTCACAAAGGATGGGCATTGGATAATGTAACTTTACATAATGAAGTTTTACGGTATACAGCAGAAGAAATTAAAGTTGCACCTCAAGTATGTTAATCATCTTGTGAAATCATATATACATTAATGAATAACAACTGTTTTATGTACTAGGAGGGAGTTTATATATATGGACTATTTCTTGAAGGGGCTGGTTGGGATAGAAGGAATAATAGACTGTGTGAATCAGCAAATAAAGTTCTATATGTATTAATGCCTGTCATTCACATCTTTGCTTTATATAATATTCCTGATAAAGATCCAAAATTATATCAGGTAGATATATTTGTACTAAAATCTTTAAATTTATTAATTATCTTGTAATATTCACAGTGTCCAGTGTATAAAAAACCACAAAGAACCTACGTGCTATTGGTTACACCACTTTGGTTGCAAACAAGCAGACCACCAGAATTCTGGATCTTGCGCGGGGTAGCTCTATTATGTGATATAAAATAAAAGTATTTGTATCTCTTTTCTTAAATTAACATGCTTCAAGAGAATATATAATATGATGCAAATGATTCTATGAGATTTATGTGATATTTGTTATTGGACAATACTTCTTATAATTATTTGATTTTAAAAACTACCAGAAACTATAAATAAGGAATCTGACGGGAAAATATAAATTCTATATACATTTCAGACTGATTTCAGATTTTAGCAGTACAATCATGATAGTTGTGTCTCATTACAGTGGAAATAAAATTTCAAAATGTTTTATATAACCCATACAGTACATACATAAAAATTTTCTACAGTAAATGCACAAATATTTTGTTAAGTTATTGTAGGTATGATTAATACTTACCTTTTACATTTGATCGAAGTCGTCTCATAATTATCATTGTTAAAAGAATTACCGCTAGGAATTTATCCATGTCGAGTCTTGAAAACTCGTGGTGGCACCTCGTGTTCTAAATTTTCTGAAATGTGCGCGAGCGCGCGTGTAAATTGTGGATTTTCATTGATTTATTCGAGAAACTTCCGTGAACAGTGTAACGAATAAAAATGTTGGAAACTTTCGAATCGTTGAAAATTTTCAAACTCAAAATGGCTAGTGAATTACCGTCACTTTAAATCGTAATGAAGGCACTCCTTGAGTTCGCTGGTTTTTGACATTTTTTTTCGATATTACATTAAACAATAAATTAACGATATAATGAGGTACAATAAAATATGAAGAAAATTAATTGAGACAACAAAGCATAAAAGTAAAACAGTTATCAGTACTCGCGGCAGATGTTTACGACATTTCTCGCGCGGCAAGAACTAATATTACAATTGAAAGTTTGTTATTTGTTTCCACTAATACGTTTTACTTATTGTATTTTTAATATCGTGATTTTAATCTGTATTGTCAACAAGAAATAGTTTGAAACTAAATTTATTTGCAATCTGCATATGAATTTAAATTTTATTATTTTATCGTATTTGTAATTGGCGCCAATTATTGCTTTAGGAAACGATAACCAATTACATATTAATATATATTATCAATCAAATATAGATGGGTATATAAAATATGATTTATTTCTATAGTAAACGTTTAACTATTTTTCATAAATATAAAATTAGTAAATGCATTAAAATTTTCTAATATTTCCCATTTATTTTGCATTTATTTAGTTTTATATTATTACAGATTCAAAATTATGTTGAACTGCGCATCTCTCACCTTTCGACCAATCACGTAGCACCTTTCATATTTGAAAATCTTGAAACAGTATCGTATCGGACGTGTAATTAATACGACGCAATGTGTAGTGGCCTCCGTTTGATTTATAATATAATCGTAAAATACCGTAGTTTTTTAAAAGTATCTCAATTTTATAACGTTTGTGTTGCAACTGTTCTGTTTGTTTCCGTTTTATTCAATGAAATTATGAGATACAAGCGGATATTCAGAAAGTGTTATGTACGGTTATAAATGTTACATTCGTTCGCAATCGTTGTATGTGTGTACGATAGCATACGTGTTACGCTAGTGCGAAAAGGTGCTAATTCGAGAAATTTTTTCCGCGTGCATCCGATTGCATTCGTCGGTTTTCAAAGTATCATCGTGTAATCCGCCCGATATATCTCGTGTCTCTATCCACCCTCGTGCCTCTGTTAATAGCAGGCAATTTCGTGTTCCCTCGACTAACCCGTGTAATTGAGCCAATGTGTGTTAATCAGGAGGCGCCTCATTTGCCACGGGGAATAGTCTGAATTGCTTTTGTTACCTGAAATATCTTGCTGTAGCGTATGGTTCGCGTATCGATTTTTAGAAATCCTGGCGTATTTGCAGGAAGGAAAAGAATCTCGCGGAACAAAAGACCAATTAAACAGCGTCTCTTTCATCATAGAAATCATCGTTTCTGGTGAGTTGACTTTGCCACGCTTTCTTATTTCAATCTATTTTATCATGTGTTTGTACGGATATAGATGCTTCGATTTAAAGAATCTAAGATTATCCTAATTGTAGAAGTAAGATACTCGTATTCACGATTGTTCTCATATCTAACAATTTCCATAATGGCGTATCTGTATATATATTATTCTAAAACACAGGGATAAATTCAAATGCGCGAATCAATAGGTGTCGTTAGTTATTTCGCAAGAACTACGCTAGCTGTCGCCACTTTCCATATCCTAGTTAAAAGTACATATATGGGAGGAAAAACATATTATATTTGATTCACGAGTAATTGTGATTTACGTTATCGAGATGTAAGAGATGTAAAACTAGAAGATGTAAAACTATTTGATAATAAAGTAGTGAGGATTCCATCTATAATACATATATGCTGGCGAGAGTAATGATTGTTATTAAAATATAAATGATTAAAACATTATTACAACATAAGTTAGTATTATCTATTCGTAAAATATGTACTCTTCGTAATTTAAAGGGAATAGAGTACAGCATGTAAAAAATCGTCAAGAACATTTAACCATGTTATGTTTGATTCTCGATTAACTTTATTAATTATTTTTCAAAATCAGAGAATACTATAAGTTATGACAATGCATTGAAATTAATTAAGACAAGGATAAAACTTTCAAACGACTTTATCAGATCTACATACTAGTTTAGAGATATCTTTCAATAAATATATATTAAATGTTAGCCATTGAAGATTGCGCGAATGTCGTAGAACTCGTACGAGCTTAAGTTCGTATCTGAGCTCGAATGATCATATTTTAATATTGAACTCATTACCAAAGGAACCAAATCATACGACTTACCGATTGTAGCACGCATGATTGGATGAGTAGATCTCGTTGCCTTTGATTTGATTGCACGTGCTTCCTCGAATCCATGAACACGCTTTGATTCCTTAACTTTGAGAGGACATGAAGAGTTAAATTCCATTCGTAGTCACTCATCAGTGTGGAAGACACTGCGTTGGCACTGATTTTATACGTAGTAGTTAAATAGAAGATGTATTTATTATTATTAATATAATTAATATAAAATTTATTATTTTGTATCGACTTATACATTTTCTTAACCTAATTCTAAGCATATACCAATTATTTATGGTTACTCAATAATTATTTATTAAACATGTAAATTTCATATGTTTTTACACACACTACTCTGTAATATAAAATTACGTTAAAGTATTCAATATCACGACTTTCGTTATTTTATTTAATAATGTCTGTATGCAATTTTGTATTTAATATACGGTAAAATTCCATTTATTTGAATCTGTCGTTGTAAACAAACAGTTTATATAATAAGATCTTACTGATCTTCCTTATTAACATCACTATACTATTGATATTGTTACTGCTATACTTAGCAAATCGCGGAGAGTTTAGGAAACATGGCGATTTTTTTCGAGGTTGGCATCTCTGAACGCGAGCTAATGAAACGAAATTTCATACAATCACGGATCATGTCAATTCTATCCTTAGTGTGTGCCTTACGCATAGACATAGTCAGTATCTACATTTCCTGAAGCATTGTCGCTTATTAAATGTTCACGGAAACACATAGAAATTCCATTTGATGGAAATTGTGTACAAGTTGGTCGCAGCCTCGTCACACGCTAGCCAGGGAATATTAATTTTACTTACCTGGTGCGGTTTGCGTTACGTTGGTGACTCGAACGACGAACTTTAACTAACAGAACATGATTGATATTGTGTCGTAGAACAAGTCCAGGTCCGTAATCCTGGCTTACGGACCGCGGTT